CGTGCGTGAAACGCTGCCTCACGGCCGGAATGACAAAAAAGTTCCTCACGGCCGTGTATCGAACAGTATTTTTTGTCATTTGTCACTGAGTGACAAGAGCGATTTCTCGTAATTCCGGCCGTAAGGTAGCGATTTACGAACGCGTAGGGTTGCCATACTATTTTATTTACTCGTAAACGAAAAGTAAATAATAGTATATTTCGTTACGAGTGTGGAAAAGAGTTTTTCTCGCCTTCGGCTCGTACTATAAACCTCCCACGAGCCATAAAACACTTTTCCCACGAGTATCGAACGATATTTTTCATCACAATGTGTGGAAAAGGGACGTTTCGCGTGCCTAAAAAGTTACTTTTTCGCATAGCGTGATGAAAAAACTATTGTTCGACACATGTGAGACGGGAATTTTCAGCTCGTGTGATTGGCGCCACCTTCACGCTCGTAAAAATTCCGTCTCACTCGTTTCGAAATGTACTATTTCTTCACAATGTCTGTAAACGGTGTTTAACGGACACGAAATCAGTGCGATGAAAAATACAACTTATCAGAACTTTACGTTGCTATCGTCATCATTGTTCCATTCATTTCGGAATCAGAGAAATTTCATCGACAATCGAGAATAAAATATTTAACTAATTTATTTACCTTCAGTAAGGTATCAAGTACAAAGGAAAGTCTCATCATTTATTTTCACATGAGAACCTTCCAGTCGTTTTAAAAAGATTCAAGTACTTCGACAGTTTTCGTTGCGAAAATTCTCTTCAACATTTTGAATTAAACATCAAAACTTGCATTCAAGCACAACTTTAGGCAAACTTGTCCCATATTTTGTGATGATTTTGTCTAAAGTTTTTAAAGTCTGAATTCTATTTACCTATTCGAATCGTTGGACATGTAATCTACTTCATGCTATTAGTGAATATGGAAACCGTGTTTAATAAAAATTGGCAAATGATGCGTTTTCCATCGTAATGAATTCATTATTATACGTAGAAGGTTCCTAGAAATGGATTTCATGACTTTTAAAAATAAGATTTCTGGAAATTTAGACTATTCTCGTTTATTCGTAGAGCGGACATGTTTAAAAAATGCTGCTATGTTGCAAAATGTAGTTTCCATAGTGCTGATCATGTGATTTGTAAGTGTAAAATGTAATGATTGGAAATCTCCAAGTCAATTCCACTCCAATTTCAATTTTTGTTACATATTTTTAAATCTAATAGAATAACGAAATTTCTGTGGCACACTTTTTGTAACTCTCATTTCTTCGTATGAGAAGAAATTCCGTCGAATTCGAGGATATTCACTGAAAACTCAACCTCAAGCTGATTTATCTCTTTCTTTCTGACCAACTTACAACTCGAATAATTCGCTCAATTTCGTATTCAATTATTCTGTTCGTTCGAGTATCGATAGTATTTATCAATGCATTATTTGAGAAGGAGTCGAGCGATTTGTATTGTTTCACTCTCCTCCAGTTCTCGGAGCCAAAAGTCTAGAAGCTCGTCGTTTGAATTTATTCAGCTTAGTGAAAAAGAAAACATGTAAAATATTCGGGCAAAAATAGAATGTTAATATAACAATCCCTGTATTGGATCCTATTTTGAGAAAAATTCGCATCTCATTTGCAAAAAGTGGAAGTGCGATTTGTGTGAGAAAGTGCGGTTTCTTAGGATTTCCTAGGGATAATAAAAATATTACTGTTATTATTATTATTACATTACCTTACATTATTACATAATAACAAGTCGGTAAAATTTTTAATGTCCAATCCTCAATTTTTGGCATTTATTCTATTCATTCTATCAAAAGACAAGGATAGAAATCAAATTTAAAGGTATTCTTTCATTATTCAAAAAAATATATCGATTTTAAAACTTTCCGGAGACATTGAGAAAATAATTATTTTAGTTCTTCCCGCCCACTGCTTTTTGCATTTTCTGAATTTCTTCTCGCTGAAATATTGATATCACTCTAATACTTGAAGAAAAAAAGGGATTCGAAGTTCCCGCCTACGTAAAAGAAGATGAAAAATCTATTTTTAGTCGATTGTGACTTTATGATTATTTTTTCATTTCCTTTTCATAATAATATTTGGAATCCGACCATAAGAATGAGGAGTACGATATTCTTTTAACGTATGAAGAGAAAACTTGATTGAAAAATTTTTCAAGCATACATGGAGAGATCTTTCTATTACCCGAATGAGTTTTCGAACGACTTTTGTATTGTGTGTTTGTTTTGATAAAAAAAAAACGCTTTTCATTTATCTTTAACAGAATTCCTTTTCATTCAATGTTGTAACTTGCGAATTAAAGGAAAAATATATATATAATAGGAATAAGAATGCATAATATGGAAATCGAAAAAAATTCAGTGATTGAATCGTTAAAATTTAGGATTGGGTCACTAAAAATTCGTAAAAAAGTCATCTGATTTTATGACTCTTCACTCGTTAAATTTTAGATTGCCGTATATCCTTATAAAGTAAATCTTTTTTCGTTATTAGGCTCGCTTTGCTCGGTTAAATCGCGGTTCTCGGGCCCAATGCCGAAAAATACTGTTCGATACGCGGCCGTGAAGAACTTTTCTACCTCATATGATTACAGAACTTGCCTTCGGATCGTCCTGTAAACTCATATTCGCCGGAAAAGTTCCTCACGGCCTAGTGTCGAAATGTACTAATTTTGGTAGTGTTTATACTGTTAGAAAAAAATGAAATTTCATGAGTTGACTACTAATTTTCAGGACAGGGACACTGAATGCGATTTAGGGACAGGGACACGGAATGCGACCAGGAAAAAATAGGCCACACACTCAAAACTTGCTAAAACCCACCCAACTTAAAAATTTCTCTGGTTTATTTTTTCTTTCCCTTGGTCTATTTTTCCGGGATTTGAAAAAATCATAAAATTTCAGGTTTCACTGAAAATTCAGTAAAGTTCCAGAAATTTAAGCAGCATAGAGACGAGAATTCTTCAATTTATTTGAATTTCCAATCTAATATGAATATTCTGTTTCCAATTACATTGAATGTTCAGTGAAATCTGAATTTTCATTTTCTTCCCCTTAAATCGCATTCAGTGTCACTGTCCTGAAAATTCAAGAATTTACCGGAATTTTCTAATTTTCTATTCATTTTCAGAGAAATAATAAAACTGAAATTTACAGTTATCATTGATTTTTCCACGAAATTCTGAATTTTCTATGACGAAATTCCTTGAAATTTCAGGGGTAATTAAATTCGATAAAAAATTCCGAAAAGTGTACCGGAAATCAGACAAAAATTTTTAACAGTGTATGTACTGCGATATTCTTTTCCTGAGCGAGTGATATTCAAACTGATAACCCCAACACCTATTTTTACCCCAATAGTAAATCATGACGAATGGATGAGCCGGATGAAGGTATTATTTCATGCTTCTTTGATGCAGCAGATTTACTCTAGATGAATTCCCATTCTTGCGTTATCTCTGTGTATTTTCTTGAATTTCTTTTATTAAATTCGATCCTCAAGCGATTGTATTCGGAGAACGGAATCAGAGAGGTTTCGCCTGCTTGATCGTAACAAGGTTTGCCGTAGCAGGCATCTCGCAAATGCGAGCCAAAACGAGTCATCATCTCCCGTTCTGAATCACAGAAGGATCGTCGAGAGGAGCTTCGTCAGATCTTTTAAAACCTCGTGACGTCTTTACACTTGTAGAAGAAGATTCGAATTATTGCCATCTAGCGGCTGAGTTCATAACCCACCGAGTTTGAATTTTTCGTGCTCGTATTATCAAAGACGATAGTAAGGTGGTAGAATAGTTCAACTCAAATAAGGGGCGAGTGGGTCAAAATGGAATTTTAGCGATTATCAATAACGCAAGATATACAGAATCTTAAAAACTTTTTTAACAGAGGCCCTAGGAGATTGACAAAATCTGCAATAAAAAAATTACGATTAATCCTTGAGTGGTCGCACAATGGGGGAATCGCAGCGTTTTTTAGATTTTTTTTCATATGAAAATTCCGTAAGTGAAAAATTTAGAAAAATTTGTATTCCTATTCTCAACTAAATGGAACGTATTGACAATTTTTTTTCGATACTCGCATCAAACAATTATTAAAATCTTTATGAAAACTCAACTCGCAGAAAATCCGTGTTTCACCTCTAAATTTCAAAATTTTGTACCTAAGGAAATCGAATTCTAGGATTATCGGTAAACTCTTCTTCTTTAATATCCCCATTCCCTGTCGATTGAAGGCTCGAAATTACCCGTAAACTACAAATAAATGATTTTTTCCAACTTTTTTTTCTCACAAAATGGCCAAATACACGGGGCGGCGACCACTCAAGGGTTGAGATTTTCGATGTCCACTTGAAAAAATTCTGCTTTATCTATAGGAGCTCATAAAATATGGCAGAAGTTGAAAAAAGTTTCATTTACGTAGAAGCCCTGTGCGAAAAATTTTTCAACAATCATAAGAATCACTGAAACTGGAGATCCATCTTTTTATCGGATCATTTCCAGATTTTTATGCCCTGCTCGCTGCAAACATGACAAAAGCTCAACAATTGTTCCACATTTGAGTTTATAACACGTAATATAACATCTCCAAATTGTCAGATTAGAATATGGATATTTTTAATTGTTGTGAAAGTCGGGTGGTAATTCTGAAACGCTTCGTCACCCTGATGCAACACAGCTCTTGTTAAAAATCCAAGTCGATTTTTTTTCAAGAGGTATTTTACTGAGTGGATACATCGCCAGGAATGACCTCATAGAGCTCATCTTTTTATTTTTAATTACAGAAGAATTTCCCTATTTTAGTGGAATTTTCTCCTGATCTGTGAAATTATTCCATGTTTGCAGAAATCATATGGTTTCATCAGATGATGTTGAAAATATCTAAAAAATCTATTTTACAATCTCCTGATTTAAAATTATTTAATGATAAAATAATGCATTTGAACAATAACTTATCGAATGATTCTTTAATTTTATTCAATTTCATTACAGAACCGACACAGATCTACCGCTTCTTACGAACACGAAATCAAATCTCGGTAAGTCATCCTTATCAATTATTTTGTTTTCTCTGTGCATGATAAGAGATAAGACTAGTGCAGATTTTGTTATTGAAAACGTTGACCGAAATCTTCATTAAATAAATTGATAGAACATGATGACCTCTTGCGAAGAATTTATTTATTTTTCTAAATTCGATTCTGTTGACATTTGAACATGAGTGTTGTAAAATTGCATTTGAGATTTTGCAAGGTATGTATTATGTTTCTTTTATAATTCAGTTGGAAAGAGACGAAACGGAGTCGACATGCCCATTTTAATGTTTAATATTATGAAGTGAAATAGATTGTAATCTAGATGAGAGGTATTGATGATATCTCGTACTGACATCACTTATTTCAAAATGATACTTCACGTATCAAAAATTACTAAGTTATACTTTAATAGGGACCGTTGTTTTTTTAATGGAGAAAATTCCTTCAAAGAAAACTCTTTGATACTTTCCCTTGAAACTTATTCCAGTCGACCCGTCTCCCCTTTACTACTGAATTTTTCTGCATGAATCAATATAAATAAATAATTATCGAATGCTTTCTCCAATTTTCAGCCAATATTTCTTTACCGAAATTTATCCTACATGAAGCAACGCATGTCTCGGAGCCACAAGTCTCGTCGCGGCTTCAGGATCGACTCAATATTACAGAGGCTTGTGGAGAAAACCAGTCTCAGCCAAAATCCTGGCATTCGTGGCTTCATGACTCTCACTTTTTTAGGTTTTTACGATAAAAAAAGTGAGTTAATTATCATTAACTACTCCCTGAAACTTCAAATCCAACTCCAAAAATTTCTCCATTGAATTTCTTAATGAATAAAAAACAATGTTTCGTGCAGTGGAGGCACCACAGGATCCCGTCAAAGTGGAGACACTTTTGTTAAAAATTTGCCACAAGAAACGCAAGGACGTGAGTTCTCCAATAATGCAAGTGTCAGTGGGCACTAGCGAGGTTCCAATAAATCCATCTGAAAATCAACCACCACCAAAAGCACCAACGATCTCCATTCCTAATGAGTCTTTCACCTTGAACAATGGACACGTTGCTAAAACGTACATGCTACTTCTCAGAGTTTACTGCATGTCGAACAATGGCTGCCTTATGAATAACTGTGATTTGGATTCAGGTAAAAAAGTCAATTAATTCATTTGAAGAATGAGTGCACATACGAGAAATTTCATCGAAAAACCGATTGTACGTCCCTTCAAAACTCTATTGGTTTTTTTGACAATTCTATAAAAAACCGCAGCTGTTTTTTTTTCGAAATGGAAATATTCAATAGAAAATATCTCACAGAAAGAATCAATAACATTGGAGTTGTCTATACAACTTATTCTATTGAAATATTTTCTACAGAAATTCCTCAGCCTAATTTTCCATTTTTTTCCTATTTTTTTTACGAGAAGAAAAGAAAATGGATTGAAAAAAGCGTGAAAAATTGTATAAAAAGATCAAATTCTATGGGTTTTGTGCTTAAAATGTTTCTGCTGAACATTTTTTATTAAAAAAGTACAAGAAGGGTGCACAATTTTTCAATGAAAGTTTTCATATGTGCGATTCATTCAATTCGTTACTTTTTCATTGTTTACAATTAACAACAATCGACAAAGAATTATGTTCGGTAATGAGTGGTTTCAGGGGAAAATGTAAAAATGCCTTTTCTATTCGGAGAACATATCCTCCTGAAAAAGTTACCTGGCATTTTCTCCAAAAAACACTCAGCATCGGATTAATATTATATTCAATATTACAATGTTGATGAATTTTCTCATAAAAATCATTCTGTAGATTTTACTTTTTCCTACTATGAAAATAGTAGGAATATATTTCTTGAGATTCGAAAATATTTATCAAGCAAGTGATCTCGAAATTATGTTGACTGACTTAATTGCATTGTTCTAACAATGAGGATATAATTGCAGAGCCTGCACAAAAGAGGCGAAAATCTTCACCAGGAACGATAAAAAATGGTGGAGAAGAGGTGAAACTTTATGGCTCGGAGCTGATCGTCTACGATAAGCACAATCGCTGTCTCTTAACAGATGGGGATTACGAATTAGGTCTGCAGGAAGTGCAAACCAACGTTAGGTCAAGTCCCAAAAAGCACAGCTCTTGGGAAACAATAAGTGATATCAAGGAGTGTGGCCCGTTCGAGGTATTCAGTCGAGGGCCAACTCTGAAATTCCGACTTAGCTGGACAACTGAACCCAGCAATGGTCTTGTTGATAGACCAACGCTTATTCATCCACTGCCTAATGGAGATAATAAGGAGAATCGACCCGGAAATAGTAAGAATTTACCTCAATAAATTTTAAATCTGGACTCTAAAGAATTTATTATTTTAATTTGCGAAAGAGTTTTTCGAATGAATCTCTGACTCACGTCATTTGAGAGGAAAATGTCGATTTTATTCCTCTTCTTGGCTAAAATCACTTATTGGCAAGTTAAACTGACTTCAAATATATTTTTTGAGAAAATAACAATGAGTACAAATGCATCAGGAGTGATTACATGATCGTTGAATTCTGTTTCTAGCCGATTTAGATCGTTGTTCCACGAATCTCAATAACAACAACGGATCACTGCCAAACTCAACTCCCCTGACTCCCTCGAAAATGGCGGGGACGATGGAGAAAATGGATACGTTGAGTGGAACGCAACAAATTGTTTACCAATTCCTATACAATAATAATAGTCGACAACAGACAGAGGCTTGTGAGGATCTGCACTGTCCTTGGTGCTCCCTCGACTGCGGTAGGCTTTACTCTCTGTTGAAGCACTTGAAGCTGTGTCACTCACGTTTCACCTTTACATACGTAGTAAGTAACCTATCATCATTAATTTGAAATTAAAGAAATAAATGATTAACTAAGTTAAAAGTAGAAGTCCAACAATGAATTATGCCGCAAATTTTGATACAAATTATTTGACAGCCATTCCTCGAATGAGCAGGTTTGGAAAAGAATCTCAAGAGAGCTTTTTCATCGTATCTTCCCCAATGACGATAGGAAAGTGGCTTATTTCATTCCGCGGATTTCCGTTATTTTTGACAATCCTCGGAATGATATAACTCCCGTTCCGCCGTTCATTTACGGAGAAAAATCGAACTTTATCGTGCAGTTATAACGAAATAGTATATTACGATACAAGTGAAAACAAGTCGAGAATAAACCCCAGAGTCGACAATAATAGATGAAATAACGATGTGTGATTTTTGAGAAAAAAAAAAGATTTTTGGATGAATTACTCTATATCAGCATGTATTGAATCGATCGACACAAAATTTCATACACAAGTGTGACTCAATAATACTAATTAGTAGCCAGAATTTCAGATGTTTATTGTACGTTTTACGTGTATTAGAGAACGCCACTTAACTCTTAATTGAACAAATTAGAAAAACGCGAGTATCTCGAAAACAATCGATTTTGACTGATCTTGATAGGCGGCGGCAAGCCGTGTATTTTGAAGAAATGAATAAATTAATCGGATCAGTAGTTTGGAAGATATTGAAGAAAATAGTTTTTCACAAAAAGTTGAATATCTTCTGGACCACTTGTCTGATTTCGCCTACCCACAATTCCATCCTGTAATATCATTAGAGCTACAATCTCACCAAATTTCAACATCCTATCTAAATTTTTTTAAGAGTTATCATGCACAGAACGATTTTCTCATAAAAACGAAAAACGCCGGTTATTACCAAACTGTCCCTAGTTACATAGCAATATTACGATTTGATTTGATAGATATTATTACAAGGAACATTTTAACGTCGAAAATCTCAATTCAGTCACGTAGTTTTCAAGATATTGGGGAAAAAAGATTTTTGAGAAATTGCTGTGTCGGAAAATACTTTTAGCTTCAACTTTAAACCTTTTTCTGTGAAGATTTATAAACATTTTCCGAAAAATTTGCATACACATCGGGACATACATACACACATTTTCTAAAAACATGATATCTTCACGTTTCATGACATTCTACATAATTTCCAGGCAAAATTAGAAGATCGTCAAAATTAACGATAACAAAGCTTCCATTCGGAAGCAAACAGTAGTTGTCGACGAGTGTGAGGCTTACAGGCCAAGTCGACGGCAAAATCTATAATCACATTTTTTTCATATGTATTGGACGATATTTTATGATAAATACTAGTGAAAAAAAGGCGGTTATTTGCGCACTCGTATTATAAATTCTATTTGCACCTAGGAATAGGAAGGAAACCAGGACATCAAAACCCATATGTTTACCAACACGTATGAAGAAATTCAATAGAAAAACTAGCGAATTTGCTAGAAAATTCTATTGGAATTCTATTCGAATTCTATTGCAAAAATTCTATTTGTTTTTTGCGCTGATTCAATTAGATATTCGATAAGAAAAAGTCAACAGATTTCAAATTTCTGTTCCAATTTTTCTCTTGAGATTGTTTTTATTAGAATTATTGGGCACAAATTTTCTAAGTTTTTTCCGCTGGATTTTGTTTTGTTTTGCATTACAGAATCCGAGTAGAAAAAACGTAGAAAATTGATGCTCAAGCATTCTTATAGAAACAATCTCAAGAGAAAATTTCAAACAAATTTCAAATCTATTGACTTTTCTTATCGAATATCTAATAGAATCAGCGCAAAAAACAAATAGAATTTTCCAATAGAAATCCTATAGAAAACCCATAAAATTTCAATAGAATTTTCTATCGCTAGGTTTTTTATTGGATTTGTTTATGCGTAAATCGACACGCAGGTTGGAATGTGCTGTTTTCCTCCCTTAGAGCACAATCTATTATTTTCCCTTCGTATAGCTTATTAAGTTTTTCAAAACATAGAGTCCTCAGAGAAAGGAATTCTCAACCTTTTCCCACCGAAAGCCTCGTTTCGTTACCCATCCTTTCTACGTGGCGCCAAACTAGTCTATAGGAACATTGAGAGAAATTACGGGAAACTTTACCCAGTCTTGGCAACCATCTTCCGAGTCCTTTCCCAAAGAAGGCCATCAGAGTTCAGACGACCGCTTATAGCAGTTTCGATGCCGTGTGACTGTTCCCAAGCCCATCCATGTACGGATTCGCGACTTTCGAACATGACGCTGGGAATAGTCACCTCACGGCCACTGCCATCGAGTCCTCTGCTTTATCTTCATTCACCCATTCCTTACAGAAATTCCTCTTTCCTTGTGAAAAATTAATCTGGGAATCTTCTTTTTTAGCCAATATCTCAGGGAGCTCGAATAGACGTAGCAATTAACGACTGTTACGATGGTTCGTACGCAGGAAGCCCACACGAGCTCATCTCCCAACCCTCAGGGATCACCTTTTCTCGAACAGGCCCCACCAGGCGCACCAGTGTCACCAACATCCTAGTCTGCCGGCCCAAGCGAACCAAACCTAGTCTCTCCGAGTTCCTCGAGCTTGACGAGAACGACTATGAGAGCCAGCGCCCCTACATCACTGGCCACAACAGGTAAATTACACTTTTCAAATAACTCGATTTTCACCAACGTGGATAAGGATCATTCCATGCTATTTCAACGGGGACGACTTTTTTTTTGCAATTGCATATATCACAGCGGGAGGACTAGATATACTATTAACAGTCCATTTTTTTTTTGTTAAAGTTATAACAATTGTAAAATTCCAATGAACAACAAATAGACATGCTTTTGAATATATATCTCAAAAGTTATGCATGTAATCCAACAATTTGAGAAGGGCTTTATTGTTGAGAAAGGATGGTTAGTTATGTAAAAAAAATTCATAGAAAAAAGTAAATATTTTTGGTATTTTTTAGATAAACAATTAGAAAAAAGGTTGGAATTTCGTGAATTCCACTCTGAAAAATATGGAAAAAATATATCTTGTGGGAAATATTATTAAGAACGCTGTGTCTAATTTTTGTTTCATGACATTAACTGCCTCGTAAAATATTCATTTTTTAATGAAGCCATGTGACGTCTCCGCCGCTCAGTGCACCGCCCAATTTGAGCGCTCCATTCTCTTCCAAAAAAACAAGAGTTTTCATGATTATTCATTTTTTTTATATCGATAAAAAAACATACTTTACCATGAAACAAGCCAAAATTTATTCGCTCATTTCGTGCTTATGGCCAATCGTTATTTTTTTCTTACTATATGGTCAGATTCTCGGCGCGGTAATAATCGGTCATGACGGGGGTCAGTGAAGATCATTGGACCGGTCATTTTCGTCACTCAAATTTCGGTATAACACCTCGATGTTGTGCCTCTCATCGAATATGAACATAACAATGAGGATGGGGTCATGAACCACCCTAGTGTAGCCATCGAGGGTTAACGTAAAAATTCATGTATCCGATTTAAGGCCCGGATGGATTATCTTTCGAACGTTATCTCATTTTTTTTCCATCCTCATAATCTAAAATATATTGCAATTTCTATTGGATTTTACATCGCGCAGGAGTCCATAAAAATTATTATTGTACAATAAAAAAAAAGTTGCAAAAAAATGAACATTTCCAAAGAGATTTTTTAATAACGATTTGCAAACACGGCTGATGGAAAGGGAATTGTGAATGAATAATTTATCATGGCAACTAACGGTCTGCCAGCCATTGGCGACGGTGACGAATGACGACCTATTGTCATTAGATATAGTAGATTATTAATTTTCAATGCCTCCGTATTGGGTTTATTTCCTAATATTATTCAAAAACACTGTTTGAAAATATTCAGTTTTTTCAACGTTTTTTTGATTCGACAATCATAATTTTTTGAGACTTCAGAGCTATGTAAAACTGAATCGCAATTGGAGAACATTTTAGATTATCAAACTAAACAAGTGGAAAATTGCTCGTGTCTTCATATGATATAGTCATTTTTGATAATAAATTAGCAATATGCTTCCGAATCGTAATTTTGGACATCATTTTCTTCTATTGTATATAATTCATTCTTTATTTTATGTTATTAAATTGTATTAGATTTATTTTTCAACTGTGTCAAATTTTCAACTTAGCTGAATGTTATCATTATCATTATTCTTATTATCCCTTTCTTCCGTACAACCCATTGTTTTTTTGCGGTCCTATCGGACCCCTTATCCCTCTGTTGCTTCTCGAGCTGACATTCTCGTCCTAACTACGTGACATTTACTTCAGGAGATATATTTTCTGTTTACGTTTCGGCGTTTATATTTTCGTTCGGCGATTTCCCAGTTATTGAAATCGGACTTTTTATCGGTTCCGCATTCCACAGGTTTGACGTCTACATAAGTCACGTTTAGGCCGTTGTTAATTATTATTAATATAGGATGGACAATTCGAAGTTGGCAAAAATCATCATAAAAATAAAATCCACAAATATAGCTGACGTAATTATCGTTCAACTAGGAAAGTGTGGAATTGAAACTCACATTTTGAGCTATAATTGAATTCATTGGAAGCATGATATCCCAAGATATCCCCGGAATTCCGATTCTCAGAAAATACAATAGTTTTGCAAATTTCATATAAAAAGATTATTGCTAGCGCCTTCGAACTCGATCAAAAGGGCATCTAAACAAATTTTTTAAGCCATCCTTCAATGAATTCACAATACTTTTTTCAGTTACCGTGGGACACCCGCTTTTTGAAAAAAATTGAAAATTGAAAAAAAAATTAAATAAATGAAATTTTAATTAATGTTGATAGATAGGGCTCAACAATACCTACATTTGATTAAAAAAATGATTTAATTTGATCGATTCATTAGTGAACAATTGAAGGAAACCTTTGTCACACACACACGTACGGACACGGTCTACAAATTACATTTTCGGACTTTTTGGATCATAATGGATCGATATAACCCAAAAAATCCAAAACTCAGATTTGAACGATTAGAATGCTCCCATTCGGAAGGAAAAAATATATATCATCGAAAATTCCATTCATGTCCTCGTCAACCCAACAAGTCCTCGGTCTGAGAAGGAATCCATTTACTCCCAATGCAATTCATCATCTACTTTCATTCCACTACCCAAACGCCCATTAATCTCTAATTACTTTCTGTGTAGACTTTACCACCACACAGTCACCTGTCTCCCAATCTACCCAAAAGAGATGGACGCCGATTCCGAAGGAGAGCACGACCCAAAGTGGCTGCAAACCAAAACCATGATGATGATAGACGACTTCACAGACGTGAACGAGGGAGAGAAAGAATTAATGAAGATGTGGAATTTACACGTGATGAAGCACGGTTACGTGGGGGATTGTCAGATTCCCCTGGCGTGTCAAATGTTCCTAGAAAAAAAGGGTAAAGAGCTGCTGATGAAAAACCTCTACAGGAATTTTGTCCTCCACATGTCGAGCCTCTTCGACTTTGGCCTAATCAGCCCAGTGGTTCTTTATCAAACGATCCAAAAGCTCCAGGAGATCATGAAAGAGGATGGTGAGGACGGAGCTGTGAAGAGGGTCCTGCAGAAGTCTCACGAGGCTCAGGTAGAGCGTTGGGTGACCACTGGGGTTCATGCAGAGCCCACAAAAGCCAGTGGAACTGCCAAAACTAATTTCAATAATGAAATTTCCAATTCCAATGCTCGACGAAAGACAACCCTACCTCTGGGCTCTCCACCTCCCTCCTCAGGGCTCAAATCAGTCCATAATAATGCCAGTAAGCATGCAACAATGATTGGGGGAGCAACAAAACCAGTGACGAATGGGAATAAAAATTCTAGTAATTCGTTCACTGTTAATAAGACTAATGGAGTTAGCAATGGGAAAGGAGAAGTTAATGGGGGTGGTGAGAGGTCAGAGACCTCTCAGACTGATGGGACTGGTGGAAGAGGGGGTAGTGAACTTCCACCGAGACGGAAGAGTACAAATTCGATTGTTCAGGAGAATCCATTGCCCATCAGGCGAAAGTCAATGGCGAGTGATAATGGGGGGAACGAGTATCATCGAAGGAAGCTCGTGCTTGATGCTATATCTGCGGGGGGAAGTGTCAATCAAAAAACATCTCAAAATGATAATTATTGAGGGATCGGGGACGATGATGCCGGGAGTGGGAGGTCCAAGATGTGTTGGAAGCTTTATGGGATTGAAAGTGCAGGGGAATGAGGACAAGAGTGACAAGGGCTGTTGGATATGATTGGCGCGAAAATTTTATAGTTGGGAAATGTTCATGAGAGATTTTCTTTCAATTTTTAGGAAGGTATTGGATTTGCGGGAGCAATGTTGAAAGAAATTTTCCATAGATGGTGAAAATTCGTAAGAAAAGGATCCTTTTTTGTGGAACTTCTGAATTAGATTGTCTCAATTCCGTCATATCCAACTGACTATCTCAGCCATTGTCACTCTGAAAATTCCAGAATGTATCTTTCACCTTCCAATGTGATAATTCGAAAGTAACATCTGAGTTGATTATCTCAGAAACGAGTACCTCTACAAGGAAATTTCGAGAGTTTTTATTCTGTGATTTTCTTGCTAACTTCCAGAATCTTGAGGTAACTGACTCACTATGTTTTATCACTGCCGTACAGATTTGATTGCACAAATTTTTCTTGGATCTCCTTGAACGAAGAAAAGAAAAAGATGAAAATGGTAAAAAATTGAAGGAATGAATCGGTTTATTACGCAGCTTGTGCGTGTTTATTACTCTTAATTTTTCCATTTTAATTCGCATACATTTTGTACAGTATTTTTATGCGATTGATCGAGAATAAATTGTGTGATCGATCATTAATTGATTCATTATCTGATTGAGTGAGTTTCATTTTCTCTATTTCATTTTTTTTTATTGAACTGCTGGAATAATCATAGTTGAGAGTGGGAGAAAGGAGGATAGTGAGGGATGTTTACCTGTTAGATCAATTTCTGTATTAAAAATAGAATTTTTCATTTTTACAAGAATAATTCACGATCAACGTGATGTTTTTTATTGCAACAATTGATTCGGAGTTCATTGCAGGACAAATGTGAGAGTTTTTTGTTTTCAGACACAGCATGTTTTTCCATATTTTTCTCTGCATTTTTTATTAATCGATTTATTTTAGTGAAGAATTTTTTCCCTTTTTTTTCATTTTTTTGGCAATTTTTTTTACTCTAGTCAGATTACAATTTCATTTCTTTCTGAGGTTTCTGAATGCTGTAGACGAATGAGAAATGTGCACGTTTCTATTGAATAATACCGTCGTGTTGGAACAATCACGAAGCTTTAAACTACCGGAAAAGGTCATTCAATTTGATTAGGTTTTTTTCTTTTTTTTTGTTTTTTTTTTTCTAATGATGAGTACTAGGGGTTGGATAAAGGGGCATTGGAATCTTTGAGATGGATTTATAGTTGAAATTTAAAGGTGACAAAAGAAATGAATGTTGAGTACAATTGACGTTCAGGAGTAAAGTCTCAGAATGAGATACGTGAATGAAATGTTTCTTAGAACAATCTCTGGAACTAACAAATGTTTAAACTCGCAGAAAGAAAATATGTTCTCGAACAAGTTTTGTTTTTAAAAAAAAGGCAAGTTGAGAATTACCAAGAATAAAAAATCTCGTGCTGAACGTTTGAAGAGTGTCCCTTGGATGAGAAATTTTAGTCGAAAAGATGGATTTAATTGTTTTAAAAATTGTTATTCCCTTTGCAAGCAAGAATTCCCATTTCTATCATTTTTTAGTTATTCCATAATATCTTAGGTATTTTTCTCCCAAAAAAATGTTGGCTTTTTGCAAAGTCAGGGAGAGTAGTTTTTCATTTCCAATCCTCAAAGATGAGAAATTAATTTTTAAATAGTGTAACAATGATCATAGCATAGCAATCCTATAACTTAAGAACAAAATATTTCTTGATCAACTTCACTTTATGGAAGATATTTTTATTCTGAAAGGGCACCCCTTCTGCGAATGATTTTGTTATTCAAATATTTTGTTATTGAAATCAGAGCGATTACTCATGTTTGAATCCTTCGTTTGTTAAAATGTAACAATTTTTAACTAGGCAATTATGAACTTGCCATTATTTTGGTTTAAACAAGACTTGCTTGAGAATGTTTTTCTCCAATTGTTGAGCGATTTAGACAAGGACTTGTCTACAGAGCAGAATGGAAGTCATTGGCAAAGTGACTTAAAAAATTTGTCCATCTTAGTTAGATACGATGAGATTTATCAAAATTTAATTTCAATTTCACATTAAAATTTCTCGTTTGATTATCTCAAGGTCTAGGTCAAGATAAATTCCTCAAAGAATTTTGTGACTTCATGAAACTTTGTCAAGCGCGCTTTAATTCACAAGTGTTCTTGGAAAACTCATGCTGAACTTTACCACTGAATTGCGATTAGTAACGAACACTGTGCGATTGAGCAAAAGTGCCTTCATTAAACCTGAGGCTTTTACGGAAAAATTAGATTTTTATTCGGAATTTTGTGTAGAAGTGATGCAGAACAGGACATGAATAGAAAATTTTCATACTGAGCATTTTTGCAAGTCCTTCGTAAATTACCCGGTTCAGAGAAAACTGTCGAAATATCTTTTTTCTGCAGAGCGTAAACTCTCGAATCAAAAATATCAGAAAAGGTTATTGGACAGTTCTCTCTGAACGCCTTTTGCTCGAGGATAGTCGCAAAATAATCGGTAGAACTGTCTGAACATACCTCCTTTCATCACTTCACTTATCGATTTCTCTATCTGAAATTACCCTTCGAAAGGAGAAATTATGATACTTACATCTCCCAGATTGTGCCCAAGCTACATCCATGAAATTATACAAAAGAGTAATGGTGTATTAATTATTTAATCCTCAAAGACCTTGTACGATACACGAAAATACTAATTAAATCTACTGCCTCTACGGTCGTGGCATTTTTTTATTATTGTATTTCATTTTCTTAATGAATACTGTAGACAAAGACCCGACCGTTACCCTTTAAATCTTACACTGTATATCGTAGATTGTAAATAGGTATATTGCAAAAAAAAATTCAATAAATTCTGTGAAAAAAAAATTAAAATTTGTGGTCTTTTTGAATGATTAAAGTTTATGTCCTCTGAATTTTTATAAGGACCAATTCCTTGACTCGGTCGTATTTGAAGTACTGGGGGAAGCCAAGGTTCACTTCTTCCAGGGTCCATTTTAGTCGTCTCCTGGCGATACAACGGCGGAATTCCTCGTAGGAGGGGGCCACCGAGTCCAGGTGAGCAATTGTGAATACAAAACGCTTTTCCATGGCTACGTAGACGGTGCGTTTGGTATCATCGGAATGTAAAATCTTTTCAAGAGTGGAGACAAAATGTTCGGTGATGTTGTCATCATAAATAACTGAAAGAAGAAGGAAAAAATATGATATTAAATATTCCGCGCCAAATGAGTCAACCGCTGACCGTCAACCTCTTGGAAATTAATTGCGATTTTCTAGGATTGGGGGGGCTGAATAACTATCTCTCAAATTTTTTCAGATTTTTTCGGTGATATGATTTTTTTTTCGTTTTTCCGTTTTTTTTCAATAACTCAAGTTTTATCCATCCGATTTTGATTTATTAAGCGTCAAAATTTTTCATTGTGTACTGTCTATAAGAATATTTTTAGTGAAAATTTTTTTTCGATCTCTAGATACTCATAATAACGAATTTTCGAAAACAAAAGTTGAAAAACTTGAATTTTGGAAATGACGTCGCAGTTGATTTGTTTCATATCTTTTCAGTAATTCCTATAACCAAAACAAGTATTTTGAGCCGTCATAAAAAGTGGACATCCTCCTGGATCTATTTCTATTTTCAATTTTTTCTTTTTAAAATTCCGCAAATTTGACTGTTTACCTATATATTACATATTTTTTCGATAAATAATCGAAGCCATTTTGGGGTATTTTGACTAAATTTGCGAAATTTCGAAAAGAAAAAATTAAAAATAAAATAGACACAGGAGGATGCCCAACTTGCATGATGGCTCAAAAGACTTGTTATGATTATAAGAATTACTGAAAAAAAAATTTTTTAAAGCAACCGTGACGTAATTAGCAAAATTCAAGTTTTACCATTTTTTTCCCCGAAAATTCGTTACTTTACGCATCTAGAAAACGAAACAAAATAACCTGAAGCCTAAAATACCTGTATAGGCGGTAAAAAATTATCTGCGAACTGAGCTGCCGAAAAAATCTGAAAAAATTTAAGACAGTTTTTTACCCCCTCCCCCCCAATCGTAGAAAGAATCACCATTAATTTCCGAGAGGGTGAGGGTCAACAATTGACTCATTTGGCATAGAACACCTTATATGTGTTCAGGAATTGTGAGGAAAAATTGGTGACAGGAGATGCTTTTGATGAGGAATTTTCAGCCTACAGAAAAGTTTTGTTGACAGTTCTTCGAAAAATCGTTCATTTCAGATATAATCACATAGTTAATTTGGACTCAATTCATCCCACGGCTATCTTGCCCAAGAAATTTTCTAGAATGACTACTCACCATCCGCAGCAAGAATGATCGCGGACTCTGCCAATTTTCTCTTCAAACTTGTAGGCCAATCTGTATCTTTGAAGTTCAACGCCATCACATTGAACTTTCCTCGAATGTACTTCGAATTCCGTTGAGCATTTCGTTTGATCAAAGGTAGAATTTCTCCTAAATCAATATCTGTAATGAAATTATCATTAAACATTTTACAGTTATCACTGTTGACCTTTTAGGTGTAATGCAGCATTTACCTGTACAGGTGACTTCTCTAGCTAACATTGCTGCGACAATGCTCGTCAAACCCACTCCAGATCCTAATTCAACGACATTTTGGTGCTCAAACTCTTGAGGATTAGCCATGATAAAATCAGCTAATAAGAAAGCTCCTCTCCATAATTGTAAACCCACAAGTTCCAACTGTGTGCAGATACTGTGTTCAATCAGAAGTATTCCTTCTTTTCTTTGAAGAACCAAATCTCCCTCGTGATCGTAAGTCATTAAGTTCTTGGGTTTCATGTGAGGAGGATATTCGAATGCAAATTGAGTTACTACATCTGGGAAAACAAAATTAAATCATCAGCTTATAATGGTAAGATCTCAGTTGACTCAACCAATCACAATTGTTAATTTGGTAGCTTGTGACAATGTACACTATTTTACTCCTTTTCATTTAAGGGATGGCACAACTCGAATATAAAGATGACGTATTATTTTTCGGTGGAGAATAATTTCCAAAAAGTTTTTTACACCTATCTGTGGATAATCTATCAGGTTAAATCACTCCTAACACTGGGTCATTTTACTTCCAGAGCGAAAAACGAAACAAAAACAGGAAGGAAAGGATAAAATACACTCGACAGGGGTTGATTTCCCTTATCTTTCTTTACGGCCCAACGTACCATTGTGTGAAGAGTGGTAAAATTTTTACGAATGGACAATTGTATCAAATCATCGAATAAGGATTTGGCTCGAGAGGATTCGACCCTAACTTTCTATTAAAAATAAAAAAGTGTTGGATTTGATTGAACGAAATCTTATTCAAAAATAAATCTGTATATGCAGAGTGTCCCAAAACTCTTGACCGTAACGTCATAATATACAAGTACGTCATAATATGCGTTTTCGTCACTCGGCCCGATAAACGGCGCTTACTCGGGCTCTGTCGAGAGGGGGTAAAGAGAGTTTACCGCGGCACTTGAATAATCGGTGCTCCAAGGAGGGTAAATGAGACGCTCGGTGCTCCAAGGAGGGTAAATCTCACTTACCCATCCTAGGAGCGATAAAGTGGGCGTCACCATGTGCCCTGACGTTCCCCCCACTTGGGCATGCGCTCTGCGTTCGGGTAAACGTATAGTCGGATGAGCTGTACAGCGCCTCTAGCGGCCTTCTCTACAACTTAACCCACTAGTGGTAGCCATGTTGTTGTGTGTCATTGAGAAGATTTATCATTAGAAAAAAGTCACTCTCCGAGTTTTTGTTCAATTTAAAGTTGATATTTTTGTTCAAAAAACAACAATTTCTAAAATATCAGTATTTATAACGTCGACTTCTGTTCTTAATAAAAGAAGAAAAATTGAACAGCTGAGTATCTTCTTTTATCTTTGATATCTGTTCTTATTTTCTATTTTTTATGCAATTTTCTTTTCACAGGTCCAAAATTACCGTCATCAACCTACTGTTTTTGGATATTTTGGCGGACTTTACTAGTTATTTATTTTCGCATCAACTGATATTGATTTTATTTCGATTTATTTTTTTCTATTGCTTTTATT